AAATTTGACGGATAGGTATTTCAATTTTTTTAATTTTTTTTTAAAAAAAAATATTATTTGAAATCAAGATTTTAAATACAAAATTTCTATGTAGAATTCAAAGAACAAAGCAACGACACGCTAAAGTTGTATTGCTAATGTATCTTCATCCTTCAAATATACGACCGTTATTTGAAATTCAAACTAGGTATTTTCTTGATTAGTATGAAAATTGATTTTAAATAATAAATTACAATAACTAGTTCTTTTAATCTTCATACAAGACTATTGCTTGGACGTGTTAACATCAACATAATTCCTGTTCATAATCCGCAAGAGGCGGTTAATTTGATTGATATCATTTCTAGAGGATTTTTTCCGGAAAAACAACCACCAATTGCTCAGCAACTAATCATGGTAATGACTTGTAATTTTCCAAACGCGGGATTAATTTATTAATTGATCTTTAAATTATAGGAACAAAATCAATGTATTAACAATCCGACAAGTTTGACAGCTACAAACAAATGGGTTCATCTTGTCTCACAAATGTCAGCGGGAACCAGAAATCTCCAATTAAATGGTATGATCTCTATCCAGTTCGAATGGGACTGATAAACGTTTGATGTTGATAATTTTCGTCATTTATATTGTAGAAGTCTATTTTCTTCAAGAAGGATTTCAAACGATACATAATATGGCTACAGCGAACTTGCCTCAATTATTAGATTGTGCGTTGGATCGCGAAACCGCACAGGATGTGGTAAAGTTTTTCGAGGAAGACTATGTCGCTTAATAGATAACATTTAGTCGGTTTTTCTTTTTTATTAATTTGCGTCGTCGCACAAAATCATTTAAAACGATAAATAGAATAGCGATCTTGATCAAATATAGATTTTTGTCTGAAATGATGAAAAAACCTAACGAACTTTAATTTGTTAATATAAATCGAAAACCTAAAGTTTCGACGATATAATTTGCAATTTAGGTCAATTTATATCTTTTTTTGCTTACATAAAATAAAAAAAATATTGGAAATTTTGATTACAGGAAATATGGGTCCTTTGCAATAATGATAAACTGAAAAGATTTCGGACTAAGCATAATATAAAAGTAAATTTGATATTTTCCCAATATACTTCAACTTAAATCTGGCTAGATCAGATAAAAATAGATAAAAATTTACATCTTTCGTTGTATTTTTGGGGAGTTTATCGCTTCGGAATTAATTTTAACTTAATACAATGACTTATTGCATTTTACCAATTTAAATTTGATAAATAATAATAATAATATTATTATTATTATATTCTCTTTGTCAAATCTATTAAAGCTAAAACTAAACTAACATATAAAAATGTTTATAATTTAATTATGCCTTAGGATAGCCTATTTAAATTATAGAAATAAAATTTATTAATAATCTACAGTCCTCCTATCAATTAGTACAGTATATGCATTTAAAGTTTCAGCTGAATTAAAACATAATCATGAATATTTGAATTTTAAAATCAAACTATAAAATACACATATTTAAATTTAAAGCTTATTTATTATAAAGCAATATGTTATCAAAGTTTATACTACAGGTTTTTAAAATTTTTCATTGCCATAACATTATCATTAATGTCTTAAAATGTATGTTAAATGGAGAAATTGCTATTGAAACCTAGTTACAATATTAATAGAAAATAGCGAAAATTGACAAACTTCATCTGATGTTCATCACTTTTTAGCACAGTACTAAATTTTATGTCTAGAAGGATTTGCAATAATATTTCTCAGATAGTAATATAAAAGATGATGAGGATTGATTCTTCATTCTAAAACCTGACTTTATTGCAAATTATGCTTTGAAATACAATATATGATATTGAGTAAGCTACATTTTTTTTTGCAAAACTAATAATAGAAATTTATGAAAATGTAAAAGAGCAAATAAACAAAGACTTAGGAATAACATGACTTAAGATTTGCATACTCTCTCTTGAAATATAATCGCTTAATAAAGATTTTGCCCATAATGGGCTATTTTATAATCAATGTAAGATGATATGTGAAAATAAAATAAAAAACTATATTCACTCTTCAGTTTTATATTAGCATAGATATAATGTATAATTAAATATTAATGTTAATAATATATCAAATATAGTAGAAAAATCAAAGAAGTACAATGAATTACTCTCTATTCTTTATTTATAAAAATTAAAAAATCCCATATTGTTATATTCAGTTCTTTTGTTTATATATTTATAAACAAATTTAAACATAAGAAAAGGATTTTTATTGAGCAAAAATAAAGTAATGCTAATGTTAAATTTATTTAATAATACCAAATTTAATAAAATTGACTTAATACAGCGTTCTACTTTCATAATATCAATATATAAATGCTAATCAATAAGACTTTATTTAATTAAAGCTGACTGCACAATTATAAAAAATTGCGTTGATACCATATGAAGTCAATCCTACTGCGTCACAAAAGATTGACGAATGATCAACGTTATTAACATCGTTAACA